ACTAGACTCTACCGGATTAGAAACGAGTGTATTATTATTGGTGTCGGTTCTCGTGACTCGGAACGTAAACTAAAATTTGACAGACCTAAAAATTACATCGGAAACTTTTTATTAAATTTAACATACTCGCACCTTTGGTGTAATGACGCCTTTTTTTTATCACTTCATTTATCACTTTTTATGGTCACTTGGTGACGGGGTGAAGAAGTCGTGAGTCTTAGACATAAGTTGGCAAGTCTCATGTTCCTGTAATTTCACCGGCACCCTTCTAAACCGAAACGTAGTAAAGAAATAGGTAAGGTGGCAGTGCTTCCCTAGACGACTTCTTTCGCAAGAGCTCTACTACTCCCGTATATAGGCAATTAAAGCTTACAATTTCTTGACTTATAATTATTAAAACAAAGATCGAACTTTCAGAAAAAATTCCTTCGATCCGGCCGGATTCGAACCGACGTCTTCTAGCATACCGTGCCAGACGACGTCTTCTTTCCGGCCGGAGTGTTCGATCTTTGTATTAATAACTATAACAAACTACTGGAGTAATTTCACATAAAATAGCTGAACATCAAATTAGACTTAGAGACTTGTGTTTTGTTATAAAATAAAGACATAATTATAGATTGTCATATAATTATTTCTAGTAATTCGGTTTTTCGTGCCTTTTTCAACAGGCTACGAGGTTTACGAATTTAGTCGACATATTATTATTACTTACCCGGCTAGACTTTTGAGAAAACACTGCGTCAAAGTCAAAGTATTGTTTATTTCATAGGTAAACAAATTACACTTGAAATCGTAAAACTGATGAAACTGTACTGCTCATTCGTAAGGCAGATTCCCCTGAGAAGAATGATCATATAACTCTAGGGGTTGCTCTTCGTAAATATAGAATACATTTATCATTACAATATTTAATTTAAACGTCTTAGATCGAGAATACCTGAAAGAGTTAACGAGCCATTACCACGGATTTTTGCCATCCAAGTACGCAGAAGCTGTAATTAACCTTTAGTCATTGACTTACAAATAAATGGACGACGGGTCTAATACAAAAACCAGGAAAAAAATGTCCCAAGTCAACCTATTTAAACGTAGTGACATGTAAAGG